AAATATACCTGAAATCAAACCCACTCCGCTTCTCCTATTCGATTTTCACTTTAAGGAATCCCCACCTTCATATACAGGAGCTCTACTTCGTTTTCCTTTCTCTAGTAGCTTGGAGATATGGTCAAAAGACCAAAAAACAATCTACTAGTGATTAACATCCACAAAGGAGCAGATATGGAAAGTTACGCCTTGTCCATTACCATTTTGGAGCCCATTCTTTAGTCTCTCCAATAGCTACTGCATCGCCATCTGTGAGGCAGTACTTGGCAATCGAGGACAGGACCTCTTACGTCTGTAGCAGTGATGGAGGCAATTTAATTTGGGGGAGGGGATATTATGGGAGAAATAGAGAATTTGCATTAGCCCAAAAAATGATTAAAAGTTGAAAACAAACTCACTTGGCTAATTGAATTGAGGTAAAGACTTGGTAACATCAATCAAATACACTGATCGACGGATTTTCATTTTTATGTTCTAAATCAAACTGACAAATTTGAGTAAGATTTATTTGAGAAGCTATTTAAATGCAGGATCTTGAATGTAAGAGTAAATTTGCCGTGGGAGCACCTGCGGAGGGTCGGCGGGTAAAAGCCAAAACAAAAAGGTTGGGGCAGTGCGGATTGTGGAACCAAAGTAGTTTCAGCCAATTATTGCTGAAACCAAAGTGGTTTCAGCCAGTTATTGTTGCGAAAGCCAAGCACCATGAAACGTCCAGATTAATGTCGTTTTGGGCTAGCCAAGCCCATTTAATCTTTCCTTGGAAGCGCTATTAATAATAAAAAACTAAAATAATAATAAAAAATATAATAATAATAATAATAATTAATTAATAATAAGGATTGATATATATATATTGAAGATGATGATATGGTTAGAGTGTCAAATTCTCTACATTTACCAAAATAGAAGGTAACCAAAACAGCGGGAAAGCCAAAATGAGGCATCGACGGTACGCCCTAGGATTTTGTGGTTTGAATCTCCAATTTTGGCATTACCTGTCACTCGAATCAGATTGAATCCAGTGAAATTCCTACCTATTAAAGGCGTAGTCCCATGGGATTTTCATACAGCCTCTCCTGTTCAGTCAGAGCTGCCTCTTCAATGCACACTCAAAAGACAAGTCAGTATGCAGAGCAGGAATACCCAGGTTCAGGCCATTCAGACTCCAATATTGGAGAATTTATGATCCAGAGACACTGTCATATGCACAACTGACCATGCTGATATTAAAGAGGTGAAAGTGAGTTGAGTCTATGATGCTGATAATGTCCCTTCATCTCACAGAAGGGAGGCTACTTCCGTTGGGTTTTGTCTGTTGTGGGAGGAAGATGTTGCTAAAAGCAAGTGACCAAGTGACCAAGTGGAAGGGAGGGACTGAAGCCGAAATCATAGGACAAAGAAAGCAAACCTTCCATGGCCAGTGTAGTTATAGAAGTCTCGAGCTTTAGGGTACACGTTGCATTTCAAATTTCACTCCCCCAACAACCATAGATCCAATCTAATGTCTTAACTTTCATCTTCCATGCCATTTCCATCCAAAAACTTCAAGACAAAACAGAACATGTACAGAGAGAAAGAAGGGCTTTTCCACTTTGCAGCTCAGCTGCCTTTGTCCATTCCAACTTATAGTCGTACTGAATCAAATAGCCGGATGAATGAATTAAAATAATCATCTTAAGTCCTAGCTATGTGTCCTATATTATGAGCATATGCATTTGAGGTCTCCTTAAAGTGTACTCTTCATCTTCCAATGAGTGGAGATAGACAGATTGATCCAACAGTCGTTCATCCATCCATTGCTCTTCTGCAAGAAAGGTTCAGACAGTTGGAGAGAGCCAAGGAGATGAGGCAGGAGAAAGAGCTCTTACGGATGTTGCTTGAATCAAGGCAGATCAATGCAGCTATAACTTATGTGCCATGTAGATCGCTTTTCCACCCTGAACTCATGCTTTCACATCTGCCTCTTCAGTGTACACTCAAAGGAGAAGCTAGTATGCAGAGCAAGAATACCCAGGTTCAGGCCATTCAGACTTCACTATTGGAGAATTTATGATCCAGAGACACTGTCATATGCACAACTTACCATGATGATATTTCAGATGTTGATACTTCACTTCATCTGTGAAAAAGTATTACAATGTTAATCTACCTAGTAATCCTGTGGTTTCCTTCCGTTTCTTCTTCATGGGGCAGTAAGAATATGGGAAGGAAAAGAAGGAGCTAAAGAAAAAGAAAACAGAATATGCAATGTAGCTAATGGCCATTATCTTATGTATCTTCAGAACTACATAGTAATCAGAAAGGTAATTCTCTTATCTCTTCTAAAATGCATTCTCATCATAGGTAATGTTATCCAATTTGTCACCGTTCCCTTTCCTCTTCATGATTTTGGGAATCAGTGGAGTTACATCTTTGGCCTCTGACATTGCTTCCCCATTGTTTATTTGCTCAGAAGGAACAGCACTAACCTTTCAGGTATTTGTAGCTAATATCTGCATCAGGGACAACATTTCACTCACATTAATCAGTAATTCAATTGTGTGCTCAAGATTTAGTATAATTAGCCTATACGGTTATCACATGGATACTTTATTTTCCAGAAAAAATGTTTAAACTTGAATGTTACACAAGAACGAAGCATATGAATTATTATTATCAGTTGCTAAGTTTCATTTAGCAAACTGAGCCACCAAATGAAGCATCTCATAGGATGAACAATATAAAAGCAGATTCCTATATGAACAAGAACAAGGGCATGCCCCCATAATAGCATTGATTTCAGAAAGTTATATGTGGAAGAGAGTCAAGAGATTGCATGATTGCTAGCTACATTCATTTTCTTAGTTTTTTCTATTGAAATCCATTCGGTTCTTTTACCCTACCTCAAGTCTATATATTTGATGCCTTTCCTTCAAATCTTGATGACCGGATCCATCTTCATCATGCTTATCATCATCATCTTGATTATCCCTTTTGAGGACAACTTTGATGCTCTCACCAACCCTAGGGATGTATCCAAATACTTCACATACAAAACCAGATACAGTCTCATACTGACGTTCCTATAGAACAGTGTGGTGAACAAAGAACAATGAAGTAGAAATATGAAATTTAGAAGTTAAAGGAACATTTTGATAGTTATTTACAGTGTGAGATTAACTGTGCCTTTACTTCAAAATGAATTGAAAACCACATTGTAATTTTAACTATTTACTTTATCCTCTCCCCTTTTTCTTCTTCATTTGTTTTTTTATTTTTTTTTTAAGCAGTGGTCACTTAATCATAAAGCATAATAATCCCACAACAGTCACAATAAACAGAATTTCACTTGCAACTGGGATCAAAAAAATCAAGTTTATAAGTCTGGCTATTTTTAAGATTCCTACGATCAACTACTATGTGGCAGAGAATGAAATTTTAATGAGCCTGTGGGAATGGCGGGAGAAGTGTACAATACTAGAAATAATCAAATGTAGAAATGATCCTAATAATTGAGTCTTTAGCTTTAATGTTTAAATTCTCCATTCAGTGCTCTAAACACCATAACAACGAAAACCAGTAATAGTATAGAATAATATACCTCTGGCATTTTGATATTCAAGTCCTCAGCCAATAAATAGATGCATGGGCATGGACACCATATACTCCCTCTGCTCTCATTACAATATAGCTAGTTTTCTTCTGGATCTCCTCCTGTTAATACAATTAGCAGCAAATGCATAAAATAAGAATCACTTGAAATGAATCACTTAAGAATCAAGTAGAGCTGAACCTTGTAACACTAATTGATATGAGACCGATAGAGTAAAGAAATATCTACATGACCTGAGAAGTGACATGAAATTCCTTGGTCACATGGAAAATACAAAAAAAGTACATGCCAAACTAAATGAGACCAGAAACTGGTGACATAAAGCAGCATCTAGATCAATTGGTCTGTAGAAAATTAGCAGCACATGTATAACACCAATTTGTTTTGGACTTCATAAACAAGTTTTCTGAGCATCCCCCCAATAACAAATTCAGTAACAGAACATTAAGGTCATTAATGAGGTAATTAGGCTTACCTTTGAATCATTTTCATCAAAGATTTCTCCAACAATCTCCTCAACCACATCTTCTAAGGTTACTATCTGCTCCATCAAAAAATCAGTACATAAATATATAAAATCATTCAATCAATAAAATGAGCACAAATACTGTTAAGTAACCACATCAACAAGGGGTTTCATGACCTCTCTAACATGAGTATCCTTTATCTCTAATATAGTTTCAATCATATCCTGCAAGGAATTCATAAAATTACAGCATCTGAACTGTAAACAAACAGATAGGCACCTGTTGGCAAAAAAATTAAATTGGATTTCCTCTAGAATCTGACTATTTAAACAGAAACTGGTAGAGAAATATATGACAAGAAAAAGATATGCTCTACTGTAAATGCGCAACCAGAGTCAAGCATAGATGATACTGATAAATTTCATCTCAGTAAAAGAATTCAAAAACTGAAGAAACTTTCTAATTCTTATTTGCAACAAAAGAGACACTCAGGCAGGTACAATAAAGAAAAATTAGCTTATTTCACTACCTGCTATTCCTCCTCTATTGCTCCACTCAACTCCGCCCGACGTAGCATCAGCTTTAATTCATCTTCAGTAACATAAGGTTCACTAATTTAAAGAGAAAACATGCAAAGCATTCGGAAAGCAGTCAATACAAACTCACACTAACAAACAACTGGAAACAAGAAATGCAACAGACGAAATGGAGGATATGATTTCCTTATTCCCATTAATAAATAAGTAACAATTCTTCCCACTAGATGTAGTATCAATGAAAGCAATGCCACTGGCCTGACCTAATGACACAGCAAACGGCATTAGCCAAATTTAGTTTGCTCGCAGTCATCAGCTAAGTAGAAAAGAGTTAAATAGCAACATAGACCATGGAGTTTTAAAGAGAAAGTTAAAGTTTTTCAGCAAAGCTTTAGTTGCAAGTTCAAGAAGAAAATGGAAACTTAAATGTAAAACTTACCACAAGTCTAGCCACCTCTCTGTGGGATTGTGAACAGCTATACTTTTTGGAGTGATCTCAGTAAGAAGCAAAATAGCAACCTAGGACCATTAAAAAAAAAAAGCAGAGAAAGGGACAAAAAAACAATGGTAAAAATGGAAAACCCCCCTTGAAGGAAATAAGCTAAGCTTGTAATGTACGATATACAAGACATTGTTTTGATTTTCTAGTAAAATATCAACTCCTTTACCAATAATATAAAGAGAGAAATATATGCAGATTAATCTACCGTATAAAGAGTGATTGGTGCCCAAAGGTTTGGATACCCACAATATCAAAAAATAAAATAAAACAAACAAAATAAAGAATGACCAGCGTGCAAGAGTTGAAATGCAAGTATCTATGTCATAGAAAGTCCTAGAGCCACCTAAAATACCAAATCTCAAACTCAAAGACCCTATGGTCACAAAAGATCCAGCTCATTTACCATTACCACCTTCACATTGTCATAGAGGTAGAGGGAAAAAGGAAAAAGAATGACAAATAACCACACCACCCACCTCTTGATTATTCTGCAGTCTATTAGAGTTACCCAACATGATTTCTTATTCATTCTTCTTTGATTGTTTACAAAGGAAGTACAAAACTTTGTAACAGCGAACTCTACAACTCAGGAGCTAACTATAAAAGATTTATCCTGAAACAAATTTAAGCCTTTTACTCTAATTTACTACAAATTCACAATGAGTTACATACGAGCACGAATAGAGGCAGGCAAGGAGGTTGGGTATGTGGGGCACATAAAGAGGATAGAATTTTTATATACATACAGTCATGACTCCAGTTGCTGCACTAACACCAGCTTCTACAGATATTGCTGTTGCTGTGTCTATAAGTAAAGCAGTTGCTCTAATATTGACCACCCTAGTGACAAAAACAGAATCTAAAAATAAATCATGCACCAAAGTTAAACATAGACACACAGAATTGGATCAATTAAGTGATTGTGGGAAAGACTAGTATGTAGTGCCAATAAGAATGGTGGTAAAAATCTAGGTTACATCACTGTGAAGCATTTGAAATACACCATCTTCAGACTCTTTTTCAGCCACCTTACGAACCTGACACAAATTAGCATTAAATTACCAATGAGACCAAAGTTTCCCAATGGCTTGGTGACATTAAAAAATATATATATCTTGTTCTTCCATGAGTTAATATGAACCATATGAACATATAAGAAACCAGCATCATCCTCCAAACCAAACAAGACAACAGTAATACTGCTGCATGAACTTCACAATCAAGATTTGAAATAGCAGATCAGATTAATCTTTGCTAAACTTAACCCAATATTTAAGTCAGCAAATGCCATTGCAGAACAACCACAAACTTCATATATTTATCTAAACCATAAAAGTTACTGAAACGCTAACAATCAATAACTGTGAATGTTCTTCAACTTCATATATTTAACTTTTTTTATGTTTCTGTACTAAAATTTAGATTTCAATTTCTATTCACTAATTATAAGAACCATCAATCTTCAAAGTTCAAACAAAGAAAGCAAACCTTCCATGGCCACAGCGTAGTTATAGAAGTCTCTGCCATTGAGAAGAATTCAGATAGACCTAAAAGTGCAATCAGAATCACACCTTGCTTTTTGAAAATCTTAAGAACCATAGAAACCTTAGGCCACGCATTCCTCAACAACAATGCCCACTGCTCAATCACTCCGTACCCTGCATTCACCACTCCCTCCGCCGCAAGCAGTCTCTTGCACGTGAAAACCAAAAGACAACAAAGCATTGCCCAAATAAAGGCTCCTTGCTTCAGCAAAATCTTCAGAGACTTCAAATTCAGACCTAAAACCTCACCTTGGTCACCCCCCAGATCATTGTTTTCTTCACTTAACGATCTCAGATGAGCTCTACCGCCAACAATGCCATGTCTCCGCAATCTCAAACTGTAAATTCCACCAAAAATGGACGGATTGAAACAACTGGAGACTACACGACATGGGAAGTGATTACTTTTGGATGAAAATTTTATTGAGCATTTCAAAATTTGATTGTGTTGCACGAAAGAGGAACACTTGGATCCAGAAATGAAGGAGGGTTGATTGATGACAGCGGATTCAGGTGTCATAACCCCCTTTACCAATCACCCCCACAATAGTTATAGCTGAAGGAAAATGTTTTTTTTTTTAAAAAAAAAACCCAAAATTGTATTCCCATTCCCAAAACTTAAAAAAAAAAAAGAAAAAGAAAACTCCAAATTGTATCCCTTTTCCCAATCCTATTTCACCTTGATTCTATTAAAACTATGCATATTAAGTGATAAAGTAAAAAAAAAGTTGAGGAAAGATAATATGGGTATTGATTAAAGA